GGCCCCCGCTGCCCTCAGGGGCAGCACCCCAGCTGCTCACTCCGGGAAGCCTGGGGCAGAGCAGCTGGTCAGTTTCAACAGCGGCTGAATCGGGGAAGCCGGGGGCAGAGCAGCTCCAATTGTCCGGCTGCCCGGAGCACTTCTGGGTTCCAGATGGTGCCGGACCATCAGGAGTACCGGACCATTGGATGCCGGACCACTGGAGTTTTACTGTATAATATTTCCACAAAGTATAAAATAATATTCCTGATTGTGGTACATTGCCCAATCAATAGGAATTGTTTTGTAATGCACTGAAATCATTGCGACTTTAAGGCCGTCACTCTGTAAAGGGGCACCTCAGGCCAGGAGAAACCAGGGCCTCCTGCTGGCTCCTTTCCCCAGTGAGTGGCACTAGGGGAGAAGCAGCTGGATCTGCTTTCAGGATACTTGGCGGATCCAGCCACCGTGCTGGCTGGCCTTTTCGAGGCTGTCATCAGATGTCAATGATGATGTCAAGCGTTGCCCTCCGAAGACTGTTGCCAGCTCGGGAGAATAAATATAACTTTGCTCATCTCAAATATATATACTCTGTGTGTGTGTGTGTGTGTGTGTGTGTGTGTGTGTGTGTGTGTGTGTGTGTGTGTGTTTATACAGGTACAAACACACAAAATATGTAATTTATGCATGTGGGTTGTGTTAGGCTTGTTTCAAATCTTATGGTTCCTTATTCTCTCCTACTCCCCCCTCCTCTGAAGAATCAAAGCACTTTTCAAAGGACTTAATTTCCATGCTTTGGAGCTCGTGGGCAACCATTCAATAAAAGCAAAATAAGGAATGTGGTCATGGTTCTAAAAACATTTCACATTCCTCAAACTGATGCCAGTTATATGCACTGACAGTAATCCTGTCTAATCCCCCCACATTTTATCTTTGTACACCTGCTTCTACTGTCTCTCTTATCAATTTATTATACTTAGAGGCAGAACTATACAAGAAGGTAAGGCAATGGAACAAAAGAGGCATACATCCTTAATGTACTGTGTAATAATTTGATATTGTAGAAAAGAATTGGGACATGTTGTAGTTCATTGTTTACAATCATCTTTTTCTATCTTTTTTTTGTGTGTGTGTTTTATTCGGCAGGTTAACTGAAGCACACCGAACAGCTGTCAAAGTCATAAGGCGAATGCAATATTTTGTAGCCAGAAGAAAATTTCAGGTAACAAATAGGGATGAGTGAGAAAAATGTGTGTGTGTGTGTGTGTGTGTTTGTTTAGGGGGGAAGCACTGGGATGGACCTTGAAAATGCTGAATGGGTAAATTTGCCCTTGAGCACAAGGCTGGGAAAAAGCTTATGTACTTAAACACTAGACCTCCTGCTCTCGACATAGGGGCAAATTTCACAATATGTACAGAACTCCCAGTTAACAGCAGTGCGTGCTCCGCAACACTCAAACATGCAGCATCTCTAGACTCGGCTCCATCATTGTTTTTCACTTACCTTTTAGTGACAGCATCTTTAATTAAAATGATCAGGTTTTTTTTCCTTTGGTATAAAATAATATGCTCGTGCAGGTTACTCAGCTAACAGAAAAGACTACATAGAGGATCCTGCTACAGCGCAGCTGCCTATGTATTATGATGATCATCTAGTCACCATGAGAATGTCTAGAGAACAAAGTGTGTGCACTAAAACAGACGTAACTGGATTGGTCGTATATAATAGAGTATGACTTTCAAAATCATGATAAAGGTTTTCCAAAGTGGCTAGTGGTTTTGAGTGCCCAACTTGAGACATATTAAAGGGGGCCTGATTTTCAGAAAGTAGTGTGTGTCCACTGTCTGAATGGTAACTTTCTTTCAGAATGCTCAGGTAACTCATCTAAAAATTAGAAGCATACAAAATCACTTGTCACTTTGGGAAATCTTTTTCATTCACCTGCCTAAATTCTACTTTCCTAACTTCCCATTATAGTAGTTCTTTATTATTAATTTAACTAGCAGATTTACCCAGCATTTCTCGGATTCTTAACTCAATTAATTTGAGGGTGAGGGGAATAAAAAGAAAATGTACATGCTTTCTTTAGATGACTGTATTTTTCAAAAATACAATGTTATTTTATTAAGTTAATTTTAATAAATATTTCTAAATGGCTATTCCATCACGTGTGCTTTTTCTTCATTCCTACAAACTCTTATCTTTCTCTATGTTTTCACATAAAAGGGTTGGGGTCAATTTGGTTTCCAATAACATTGTCTTCTAGTTTTCAAGGCTTAAGCATTGATTTCGCTGTGCCAAAACAAAGCACTACTCCAAAATTCTCCATTTTATCACTTTTCTGTAAGGTTTATTGCGAAGCAATCACAATCTAGGTTCTTTCTGTTTTTCTGACTCATCTTGGTTCAGTCTCTTTCAGCATTCACTTAGTTAAGTCAATCTTGAGGCCTGTACTTGCTTTAGTGATTCTGTCTCTTTTCTGTTTAGTTTTATGAGTAGTAATCCCATTCCAGGCACATCCCATTTTCCTGGCACAACCAACCCCTGATCTTGCTTTAGGTTAGGAGAAGAGGAGGCTGTATACTGAACTCAGTGGTCCAGATCTTTACCATTTAAGAGGAGTTCTTGATCAAACAGACAAACTCTCTCAAATATCTAGATTATGGTTTACTTCTTGTAATAACTAGCGACCAGATTTTCAAAGGTGCTCAGCACCTGCAACTTCCATTGAGTTCAACAAAATACAGGCAGTCCCCGGATTACGTACAAGATAGGGACTGTAGGTTTGTTCTTAAGTTGAATTTGTATGTAAGTCGGAACTGGTACATATTGTAGGGGAAACTCTAGCCAAACATTTCTCCAGAGCTCAGTTTTATTCTCCCACACCTCACTTCCCTCTGTCCTTTATTCTCAAGCTGAGGTGTCTGCTGAGAAAAGCCGCTCCGCGTCTCCCTGGTCTGCTGGGGGGAAGCAGCTAGTGCGGGATTGCCTCACCCCGTTTGTAAGTAGGGATCTGATGTAAGTCGGATCCATGTATCCCGGGGACTGCCTGTATGTGGATTTTCATTCCTTCTGAAAATCTGGCTACAGGTTTCCCACACAGTCCATTAGCTAATAGCTTTCATGCTATTTGTGAAGTGATATAAAAAATGGAAACCTGTATGGCCAACATGGTTTCCAGCAAATTTGATGTAAGCTCTAATATTTACCCACAAGGGTCAGAACGTAAAACCAACTTGCAATGTTCTGAACCCACAGACCTGAGTTTGTGACCATTTTTTTAAAGATATCCTAGAAATCTTTGGCTATGTCTACACTGGCACCTTTTTCCGGAAATGCTTAAAACGGAATACTATTCCGTTTTCAGTTTTTCCGGAAAAGGAGCGTCTACATTGGCCCCGGAGTTATCGTTGTAACGAAGCGCTTTTCCGGAAAAGCGCGTCTACATTGGCGGCACGCTTTTCTGGAAAAGCAGAAGACCGGAGCCATTTTGAAGAGGGCAAAGGCCACCAGACCTTTCTGGGGGCGGGGCCAGAGCGCCGTTCAGACACGTGGTTAAAGGGGTCTCTCCGGGCAGCCGTTGGTCTCCTGCTCTTGTGCCTTCGGGCCTCTGCCAGGGACTGACACCCTTCGCAGGGTCTGTGGTTGCCCTCTGACTTTTGGGGACACCACCCTTTGGCCCTCAACTGCTTTTGCCTGCGGTTTTTTTTCCTGCCCTGCTCTGTCTGCTATGGAGCCACGGGTGGCCATGTGCCTGGTCGGGCCCCTGTTGGGGCTGTACAGGTGGCTGCGGCTCCTGCTGCAGGCCAGTGCCATGCTGTTCATGGACCAGGAGGCAGAGATCGCCTTGGACTCCCTCACCAGGGAGGCCGTGGCAACCGTG